CGACGTACAATAGTCGACTAACACCCAGGTACCTACTTATTGCTAAGTGAACAGGTACAGCAGGTGTAAGGACACATGCCCAACGTTTCACCCGTGCCGGGGATCGATCCCCGTCACTGATTTATCCCAAGACATATCTTTCTCATGACTGTTATAACCTCAGCATACACTTGGAAAATCCTAGAGGGATTAGTACCAAATCTGCACACAAAAATCACTTCCTATGAAAGCAAAAGACTTGGCAGGCGGTGCAACATTTCTCCAACAAAAAGCAATGGCGCCGCCAGTAGCTGGCCAGGGCCAGGAGCTAAGTCTCGACCCCTGCAACCACAATTAGGCGAGTACCGTGCAGGTTCTTATCAGATCCATCCTACCCAGCATTCTCCACGACTCCATCCTATAAATACTCACATACCTTTCACCCACGGAGATCTGTTTATGACCTAATAAACGTTGCCAATAAAGGTTCACATTATACTGTTTGTGTTTATTTTTCCATTGTGTCGGTATTTTATACCATTTATTTCCATTGTCTCCCAGCATACATAAGGGGGGATTACCAATAGACCCCAGGCTGTCTTCGAGGTAGCTGGACAGGCACCTGAAGTCAGTACCTGACCAGCCGGGCTGTGGTTCGTAGTTGGTTTGTGTGCAGTCAGCAGTAACAGCCTGGATGATCAGGCCCTGATCCACCACAAGGCCTGGTCATAAACTGGGAGGTGGGGGCATTGACCTCCAGTACACCCTCCAGGTATCATATTATTATAATCAAGGGGGAAGCGCTAAACCCGGAGGATTATACAGCGCCTGGGGGGGATGTGGAAGGCATTCAGGCTTAATTCGGGGAACTGGAGCACAGATCCAATTCCCTAAATCAAGAGCCCCTCACCAACATCAAGGAACCTTCCTTGAGGGGCCAGGTATCATAACCAAGTACTAAACCCATAAGGGTCATACAGCACTGTATTATATGGGTCAGGTCTTAGCTCCTGGCACCACCCCTCAACCTGCTCCTAAGTCTCTCTTAAGTCTCGTGGGCCATCATAACTGCTCTTAAATTTATTTATGGAGCCTACCTTCAGTATTTCTTTGTTGAGGGCATTTCATTTCCTGACCACCCCTAAATGGAATACTTCCTGACATCCCTGTGGTTCTTTTCTTATTTCCAACTGTGTCCTTGAGTTAACTGTGCACGAAATACTTTGCTGGGCTGTCAGAGATACGTACTATTATTGGTAAGCTGGCACTGAATTGTGGTAAATGCCTAGGTCATGGTCGAATACACAGAACTTCTGATGATCAGTAAGAATTTTTAATGATCAGTAGGAACTTGTAATGATCAATAGGAACTTCTGATGATCAGTGTACCTGGAAGGTATTCCAAGGGTCAACACCCCCACGACCTGGTCCATGACCAGGCCTTGCGACAGAAACTTTTATGATCAAAAGGAACTTTTGATGATCAATAGGAACTTTTCTGCTTCAGGTTACAAGCAGGCAACCAGGCAAGCCATGACAAGGACACTCAGGAAACTTGCTTTTGATGCTGTACTGAACTGCCAGTGTTTGAATCCACGGTTTCTATGCAATAAGTTATTATACTATTTATGGGGAAGTGCTAAGACCATAGGGGTCATACAGAACCTGAGGAATGGGAGGGAGTCAAGTATGATCCATGAAAGGGGAGGATAAGTCTAATTCCTTGAATCCAAAGCCTCATCAGCATCAAGGAACCTCTCTCTGGGTTTATTATAGTGACAAATTATTATTATAATCAAAAAGAAGCGCTAAGCCACAAGGGCTATATATAGTGACAAAAAATACACTAAACCCATATAGGTCATTAAGTGCTACCTCCATCAAAACAAAGTGGGTCCCCATATTAATGTGCTATATTCATGGAAAATAAATAAACCCAAATGTGTCACTAAAAGTGTCTGGAGAATGGAAGATATTATTATAATCAAAAAGAAGCGCTAAACCACAAGCACTATACAGCGCTGCAGGGCAGGAAGGAAGCGAGGGCATCAGGTGGCAAAAGGGAGATGGATGAGTAATAGGTAGAATGGAAGATAATCAGGAGGGGAAAGGTAGCTATGATTCCTTAGATCAAAATCATTATTTTCATTTTCATTATTACAGTATATACAAAAAAAAAAATAGGTGCCAAATTTGTGTGGGTGATCCTGCAGTGTTCTTGAATTAAGAGCCCTTACTCAGCATCAACTCCTCCCCCTGGAGGGACACAATCATCAGCATCAACACTCTCCCTTGGTGGGACACAGAACCTTCACCAGAGGGGGGCATAATAGTAGTTAGTAATTTGCCTTCTTAGTCTCCTCTGAGACTTGTATATAATGTCAGCAATATGACTGACTTGTAGTATTTTGCCATCATCTTGTGCCTCCTTTGCAAAGTAGATTTATATCTGCATTTTTAGGTCCTATGGAATCTCAACTGAACTTAAACTCTTTCTCCAAGGTTTACTAAGCTTCCATGTTAGTGGGGATGAGCGCATGGGTTATATATATTCATGGGGATTGCCACAAGGCAGCAAGCATGGTTCAATAACACCTGGTGTAAACATTGATAATTATGTATCACTCACACTTCTTGATTTATATGGCTTTCTCAATTCATACAGAATAAAGAGAGAATAAGGTGTAGAGAAAATCTCCAGGTGTCATCTGTAGTGGTGATCCTTTATGACATTCCTAAAGTGTTTCACAACATTGTCAGTGTAATAGTCATCAGCACGGCTTGCAATAGCTGTGTGAGGGTGATTTTCATCAAAAAAGGTTTGCACTTCAAGCCACATTGCACACATTTCCTTAATCTTTGAAGTAGGTAACTTCTTCAATTTCTCTATCCCCTCCTCCGAAGCAGTTTCCTCAGGTGTGGCCTCTTGCTGTTGAAGATGATCTAGCAGCTCATCAGTGGCTAGTTCTTCATTGTCCTCCTCCACCAACTCTTCCACATCCTCCCCACTAACCTCCAACCCCAAGGACTTCCCCAATGCCACAATGGATTCCTCAACTGGCATAGGATTCCCAGGGTTAGCCTCAAACCCTTCAAAATCCCTTTTGTCTACACATTCTGGCCACAGTTTCTTCCAAGCAGAGTTCAAGGTCCTCTTAGTCACTTCCTCCCAAGCCTTACCTATAATGTTTACACAATTGAGGATGCTAAAGTGATCTCTCCAAAACTCTCTTAGAGTCAATTGAGTTTCTGAGGTCACTACAAAGCACCTTTCAAACATAGCCTTTGTGTACAGTTTCTTGAAGTTGGAAATGACCTGCTGGTCCATGGGCTGCAGGAGAGGAGTGGTATTAGGAGGCAAAAACTTGATCTTAATGAAGCTCATTTCCACAGAAAGTCGCTCTGCCACGTCTGAAGGATGACCAGGAGCATTGTCTAATACCAGGAGGCACTTAAGGTCTAATTTCTTTTCAATTAGGTAATTTTTCACATTGGGGGCAAATGCATGGTGTAACCAGTCATAGAAAAAGTCCCTAGTGACCCATGCCTTACTGTTTGCCCTCCACAGCACACACAAATTAGCCTTGAGGACATTGTTTTTCCTGAACACTCTGGGAGTTTCTGAGTGATACACCAATAAAGGCTTCACTTTGCAATCACCACTAGCATTGGCACACATCAACAGAGTAAGCCTGTCTTTCATAGGCTTATGTCCTGGAAGTGCCTTTTCCTCCTGAGTAATGTAGGTCCTGCTTGGCATTTTCTTCCAAAACAGGCCTGTTTCGTCACAATTAAACACTTGTTCAGGTTTCAGTCCTTCACTGTCTATGTACTCCTTGAATTCCTGCACATATTTTTCAGCAGCTTTGTGGTCCGAACTGGCAGCCTCACCATGCCTTATCACACTATGTATGCCACTACGATTCTTAAATCTCTCAAACCAACCTTTGCTGGCCTTAAATTCACTTACATCACCACTAGTTGTAGGCATTTTTCTAATTAAATCCTCATGCAACTTCCTAGCCTTTTCACATATGATCGCTTGAGAGATGCTATCTCCTGCTATCTGTTTTTCATTAATCCACACCAATAACAGTCTCTCAACATCTTCTATCACATGCGATCTATGTTTCGAAAACAAAGTTGCACCTTTGGCAAGAACAGCTTCCTTGATTGCCGTTTTCTTGGCCACAATAGTAGCGATCGTTGATTGGGGTTTTGTGTACAACCTGGCCAGCTTGGAGACATGCACTCCACCTTCATACTTAGCAATGATCTCTTTCTTCATATCTATAGTAATTCTCACCCTTTTTGCTGTAGGGTTTACACTAGAATCTTTCTTGGGGCCTATGATGACTTATTTTGCAGGTGCAATCACTAAAAAGGCTGTGATAATATGAAATGTTCCGACTGTATGCTTGGAAGCGACCACGGTGGCTGGCTTGTAAACACTGGCACCCACGGAACAAGTGAGGCGGGCTCAGACCGCACGTGGATGCCTCTCGAACGAATCGCTTTGAGCGAGTTTTTTAGTGCTAGCCGAGGCAAAATTTTTGAGTTAAAATGTATCGCTAGGCGGATTTAACGTTATGTGATGCGTTCGTTAGGCGAGGGTCCACTGTAGTTTAAGATATAATGACTGCCAAGAACTTCATCAGTCTCTCAGGTCTGTTTCAAATTTAATTGTTTCATCCTTTAGCAAAACCTCCTACAAACAAAAATATTGCATGACAAATGATCCCCAATCAGTGCTATGCTCACCAATTTGTGCATGGAGTCACCTGAAACAGAACATTTAGCAGACATGATACTTTCCACTATAACCAGGTTGACAACATTCTTCTAGTCACACATAGGTACTTCAATATGGAACTCTTCTGTGATCATCTCAACACCATGAAACCCTCTGTTAAATTTTCCCCTTGAAATATAGCAAGATGATACACTACTCTTCCTTGATGTCAACCTTCTTAAGGTCCAAAACTTCCTCAAATTTCAGGTCTGCAGAAACTGCTAACAAAGGAGATCTAATCCACTTTATTTCCCACCATGCTAAAAGTATTAAAAATGGTAGCATTATTGATTTCTTTCTCGGGACTTACAGAACATGTAGTTCAAAGTTTTTTGAAGATGAGTGTAACACTGCTGCCAACATACTTACCACACTCATGTTTACCTTTTCTTAAATTGCAGACTTAAAACACAGAAGATTTCAACAACCCAACCCTAGGGAGAATACTGACAATGCCCAAAGCAATATTTTATCTACTGGTAATGAAGCCCATAATATAACCTGGGCTCTCAAACAAAGTGACACCAACAAAACAGTCATAACATCTAAAAGTTTACATGAATTGAATAGATGAAAGGCCAGCTACCACCACAACACAGAAGCAGGCATGTACAAGAGCCTATGCAGAGGGTGTGACACATTTTACATTGGTGAAACATCACGAAGCCCACACACACTAGAATCCTCAAAAATGAGTAAGCACATAAAACACAGTCTAAATAAGGCCTGTGTTAAACATAAGAGACAAACATACACACCTCATGGACTAGACACTAACAGAGCCTGGCATAAGGAAAACCAAAATGCTAGAAAACGTTTCACATCAGCACTCAGATAGACCTCCAACACTAGAACAGAATCAAAGGGCATTTAGTACAGCACATTATTGCCAAACCATTAGTAAACCCATCTTGCATGGAAAAACCCATCTCTAAATACCAGTACCCCTCCTAACACAACCAGCAGTGCTGGCTTTCTTAGGAATCAACCCCTACCCTACATGGTGGGTAACCACCAACAGAATGTCCCCAGAATGAACAGAGCAAGGTTTAGCAAAACTGCCTCTTTACAATGAAGTGCAAGTGTCATTCAGCTAATAACGAGCAAGAAATAACCAAAAATAAAGCCTTTGCCATTTGTAGAAAACCTGTAGTAGTAATTCTATCATTGGATGATCCAATCCAATGAGTGTCAGATGTTTTAACAATAAATCTTATCCCATTTCCAAAGAAGCAAATCTTACAAAAGTTGATGGATTCTTAATAAGACAAGTAAACAGTGTTGGGAAAGGACCCACTTAAAAGTGACAGACCTCCTTCTTGAGAGAGGTCTCCACTAGCTGTAACAAGTAACCATATCTTGAATGGTTGTCAACCTTTGCATCTGGGTTCCCTGTCTTCCAGGACAGATATAACTGGGAGTTTAGTGTATACATATTAAAAATCAAATGGATATTTGCTAGGTATTTCAAAATACATTATAAGACAAATAATTTGGTAAAACCTTTAAATTTAATTGGTGAATTATGTTTTGAACTATACTTATCACAAGTCAAGAATTTAATAAAAATTATACTGTACCAAATTATTACATTAATTTAAAACTTATATGAGAACAAAGCCTAAAACAAATGTAAGTACAATTTTTAAGCTGCTACTATGTAAAGTAAAAATTTTAAGAACATACTACATATAGTCAACACATAAATTCTTACTAAAAGCACATCCATTCCACAATATATAAATTTCCATCACTTTAATTCATCTGAGCCCATAATACATATGTGGGAGCTGATATTCATATCACTCCTGGAGCCATTTTTTAATGAGCTGGGCAATCTGCTCTCTTGCCTGTGTCAGCTGTGGAGGATCAGTGGGCAAGGCAGGATACATGTTGGCACAATGTGCAGTTCCTAGAAATACATGAATATCTATGAGTTTACATTGAGTTTAGTTAAAAACAGAATCTTTGATAAACTTAGAAAACCAATTCATTCAGTAACATGTCCTTTAATAAGAGAGCCTCTTTATTCTGTTTTCTTTAAAGGCATTTGTGCAACACCACCTAATAAGCTAAAACAAAATTACTAAATTAGTTTTTGTGTTCATATTTTGTGTTCACATCAACATATTTTCCATACAGACTCGGGAAGCTCCAAAATGTACAAGATATCATTCTTTCTACATGCCAATAAAACAACTGTAATGTATTTTTTTCATTAACATTGACCAATACAAAAATAAATACCCACAGTTGCTATTTCACCAATCCCTATCATAGCTTGTTTTACAGTGTGCGCTAATCCCAATTACGTATTTATTTTTTTTATTAACACGTCAGCCGATTCCCACCAAGATAGGGTGGCCCAAAAAAGAAAAACTTTCATCACCATTCACTCCATCACTGTCTTGCCAGAGGGGTGCCTTACACTATAGTTATAAAACTGCAACATTAACACCCCTCCTTCAGAGTGTAGACACTGTACTTCTCATCTCCAGGACTCAAGTCCGGCCTGCCAGTTTCCCTGAATCCCTTCATAAATGTTACTTTACTCACACTCCAACAGCACGTCAAGTATTAAAACCATTTGTCTCCATTCACTCCTATCAAATACACTCATGCACGCTTGCTGGAAGTCCAAACTCCTTGCACACAAAACCTCCTTTACCCCCTCCCTCCAACCCTTCCTAGGCCGACCCCTACCCAGCCTTCCCTCCACTACAGATTTATACACTCTCGAAGTCATTCTGTTTTGTTCCATTCTCTCTACATGTCCGAACCACCTCAATATAAATTTTTAAGTACATACCATAATAATCAGGCCTATATACATGTACAAGAAGAATAAAAAAGAATTCTCACTGTAATACACGGACATATTACAATTTCCTATGAGAGAAAAGCATGCCTTCCATAATGAAACAGCAAAAAATACAAAAGCTAGTACTCCCTATACCTCTTCTTATCATCATCTATATACACCATGTGTCTGCTCTAGGCTGAGAAAATGATCACCTTAAAACTACTACTTCGTGGGTGATGGAATGATTACATCATCTCTATATCTCCATTGCTTTTGCTGCCATCTCTGCATGTGACTGAAGAAGCCTACTGTGTAGGCAAAATATTTTGAAATAAAGATCCCTAACTCATCTATTTTCTTTCTTTCTTTGAACGCACTGGCCGTATCCCACAGGCAGGGTGGCCCAAAAAGAAAAACGAAAGTACTCATCTACTTGTTGCTATTATATACCATTCTTATATCCTCAATATGGCTTTTATATACAGTCGAAGACAGTATTTTTTTTACACATGGTTAGATATACAGTGAACCCTCTGTTTTCGTTACCCTCTGATTTCGTGATTTTCGGTTATCGCCGACTTTTTTCGTCAAAATATAGTCTGTTTTCATTAATTCCCTCTGGTTTCATCAGTCATACAGAACACGTCCAACTGCCCACGCACACACAAAGCCTCCCACACACCATTCTAAGTATGGCATTGTTTCTCGGAGGGTGAACATTACTCTGCGAGGTCATAAGAAACATATCGTAATAATCCATTGTTTTTTGCGCTTGTTTATTGTGTGTGACTGCTAAATAAGCCATCATGGGCTCAAAGAAAGCTCCTAGTGCCAGTCCTATAGTAAAGGTGAGAAACACGATAGAATTTAAGAAACAACTCATAGAAAAATATAAAAGTGAGGTACATGTGGCCGACCTCGCCAAGATGTACGATCAGTTCCATCGTGGTGAAGAAAAGAGAAATCAAGGAAGCTGATTTTGCGAAAGGGGTAAATATGCTAACTAAACAGAGATCACAAACAACTGAAGATGTGGAGAAATTGTTGTTGGTGTGGATCAACCAAAAACAGTGAGCGGGAGATAGTGTTGTGCAGTCGATAATTTGCAAAAAGGCAAGACAGTTGCATGGGGATCTCGTAAAGAAAATGCCTGGAACGAGTGCTGCTATTAGTGAATTTAAGGCCAGCAAAGGCTGATTTGAAAAATTCAAGCTTAGTGGCATACACAGTGTTGTAAGGCATGGTGAGACTGCAAGTTCAAACATGCAGCTGAAAAATTTGTGAATGAATTCAAAGAGTATGTAGAGGGCGAAGGATTCGTCCCCCAACAAGTGTTCAATTGTGACGAAACAGGCCTCTTTGGAAGAAAATGCCAAAGAGGACCTACATCACTCAGGAGGAAAAGGCACTGCCAGGACACAAGCCTATGAAAGACAGGCTACCCTTCTTGTTCTGTGGTAATGCTAGTGGACATTTCAAAGTGAAGCCTTTACTGGTGTATCACTCTGAAAACCCCAGAGTGTTCAAAAAAAACAATGTTGTCAAGAGTAAATTGTGTGTGATGTGGATGGCTAACAATAAAGCATGGGTCACGAGGCAAATTTTCCTTGATTGGTTCAATAAAGTGTTTGACCCGAGTGTGAAGAAATACCTTCTGGAAAATCAACTGCCACTCAAGTGCCTCCTGGTAATGGACAATGCTCCTGCTCATCCTCCAGACTCGGACGACCAATTGTTGGAGGCGTTTAGTTTCATCACAGTGAAGTTCTTGCCCCCTAATACCACTCCTCTCATCCAGCCCATGGACCAACAGATCATTTCAAACTTCAAAAAACTTTACACCAAAGCAATGTTACAAAGGTGCTTTGACGTGACCTCGGACACTGAATTGACCCTAAGAGAGTTCTTGAGGGATCACTTCAATATCCTCAGTTGCATAACCCTTATAGAAAAGGCTTGGCAGGGAGTGACTTTCAGGATGATGAACTCTGCTTGGAGAAAATTGTGGCCAGAATGTGTCCAAGAGAAGGATTTTGAAGGGTTTGGGGCTGACCCTGACAACCCTCTGCCTGTTATGGAATCTACTGTGGCATTGGGAAATTCCATGGGGTTGGATGTGAGTGGCCAGGATGTGGAAGAGTTGGTAGAGGACCACAGTGAAGAGTTAACCACTGAAGAGCTGCAAGGCCTTCATCTGGAACAGTAAGAGACCACAGCTGAGGAAATTGCTTCAGAGGAGGAGGAAGAGAGAGGGAAGAAAGTGCCTTCTTCAGTGATTAAGGACATTTGTACAAATTGGAGTGAGGTGCAAATGTTTTTGGAGGAACATCACCTTAACAAAGCTGTTGCAGGCCGTGTCTGCAACACGTTCAATGACAATGCCTTGTCCCATTTTAGGCAAATCTTAGAGATGCTAGAAACAGAGCTCTCTGGAAAAAATGTTTGTGCAACAGGGGGCCAGTGACTCTCAAGCTGGTCCTAGCGCCATTAAAAAATAAAGAAGGGAAGTAACACCGGCTAAGGACTTGGTACCTGAAGTCTTTATGGAAGGGGATTCCCCTTCCAAACAATAATCAGTCCTCCCTCTCCCCTCCTCCCCATCTTCCACACACAAACAAGTCTTCAATAAAGATAAGCGTGATGTTAAATGTTCATTTATTCATTTTATTAGTGCTTTACATTTATTTGTCATTGTTTTCTGTTTGTAATCTATATTTAATCTCTAAAAAATTTATTTTTTTGTTAATACTTTTGGGTGTCTCGAACGGATTAATTGGATTTACATTATTGCTTATGGGGAAAATGATTTCAGTTTTCGTGATTTTTGGGTTTCGTCAGACTCTCTGGAACAGATTAATCACAAAAACAGAGGGTCCACTGTACATCTTTCTATGCTCACCTCCCAACTTATGATATGAACTTGAAATGAATACTATATTTCATTACTTACCGTTTATAAAAATGGCAGTAGCATCAGTGCTGAGGTCAGCAGTAACTCCAAGAGCATGCCAAGGGTCAACAGAACCATTGGGAAAAACAACTCTTGTCACTTTCAGATTTCTGCCACCATAGTTTGTGTTTGTTCTCTTGATACTGGCCTCTATCAGGCTATAGGTAAACCTGCACAACCAGAAAAATGTACATTTATAAGTGTGTTTACAGTATAGTCTTTACAAAAAGAAAAAAACTTTGGTGTAGAATGAAAAAAAAAAGTTTGCTTCCAACACTGTACATACAGTAAGGACATGCAATGAAAGCAAAAAGTCAGACCAGATACTGATATTTTATATTTAATAAACCCTAGTAGGGCTTATTAAGCTATCTGTGAGTTTTATTCAACATCTTCCAAACTTTTTTTTTTTTTATGGCAAACATTATTTTTGCAGTGTGGTAACTCACTTTTAAAGCACACTATTACATAATTACAGTATGTGGTTTAGTCATCGATTACTAAGAAAAGACCCATCAAGGGAGATGCCTTGATGTTGGTGAGGGGCTCTTGATCTACGGAAATGGATCTATGCTCGTTCCCTGAATAGAGCCTGAATACCTTCTATCTCCCATATGCACTGTATAATCCCACAGGTTTAACACTCCCCCATGATGATAATAATAATAATAATAATGTGCAGAAAGAGGCTTGGTAATAAGTAACACATATTTTATAAAAAAGAGGGAAAGATATGTATACAAGGTATGATACAGCACGTAATGAAAGTAGCTTGTTAGATTATGTACTGGTGGATAAAAGGTTGATGGGTAGGCTTCAGGATGTACATGTTTATAGGGGGGCAACTGATACATCGGATCATTATTTAGTTGTAGTTACAGTTAGAGTAAGAGGTAGATGGGACAAAAGGAAAATGGCAACAACAAGTAAGAGAGAGGTGAAAGTACATAAAAAAGGGAGGAGGAAGTTCAGGTGAGATATAAGCAACTATTGGCAGAAAGGTGGGCTAATGCAAGTATGAGTATGTGGGGGGGGGGGGTGAAGAGTGTAGTAGTAGTTTTAAAAATGCAGTATTAGAATGTGGGGCAGAAGTTTGTGGCTATAGGAGGGTGGGTGCAGGAGGAAAGAAGAGTGACTGGTGGAATGATGAAGTAAAGGGTGATACAAGAGAAAAAGGTAGCTTTTGAGAGGCTTTTACAAAGCAGAAGTGCTATAAGAAGAGCAGAGCATATGGAGAGTAAAAGAAAGGTGAAGAGAGTGGTGAGAGAGTGCAAAAGGAGAGCAGATGATAGAGTGGGAGAGACACTGTTAAGAAATTTTGATGAAAATAAGAAAAAATTTGGGGCGAGATAAACAAGTTAAGAAAGCCTAGGGAAAGTATGGATTTGTCAGTTAAAAACAGAGTAGGGGAGTTAGTAGCTGGGGAGATGGTGCCATTGGGTAGATGGCGGGAATATTTTGATGAAGAAAGGGGGCGGAAATTTCATGCACTAGCCAGGGAGATGTACCATCTTTTAGGAGTGAAGAAGAGCAGGATGTGAGTGTGGGGGAGGTGCGTGAGGCATTACGTAGAATGAAAGGGGGTAAAGCAGCTGGAACTGAGGGGATCATGACAGAAATGTTAAAAGCAGGGGAGGATATACTGGGCAATGTGTGGTGTAAATATTATGCAGAAAATTCGGAGTGTGGAAATTAGGAGAAGGTGTGGAGTTAATAAAAGCATTAGTCAGAGGGCAGAAGAGGGGTTGTTGAGGTGGTTTGGTCATTTAGAGAGAATGGATCAAAGTAGAATGACATGGAAAGCATATAAATCTATAGGGGAAGGAAAGAGAGGTAGGGGTCGTCCTCGAAAGGGTTGGAAGAGGGGGTAAAGGAGGTTTGTGGGTGAGGGGCTTGGACTTCCAGCAAGCGTGCATGAGCGTGTTAGATAGGAGTGAATGGAGACGAATGATACTTGGGACTGACGATCTGTTGGATGTGTGAGCAGGGTAATATTTAGTGAAGGGATTCAGGGAAACCGGTTATTTTCATATAGTCGGACTTGAGTCCTGGAAATGGGAAGTACAATGCCTGCACTTTAAAGGAGGGGTTTGGGATATTGGCAGTTTGGAGGGATATTGTTGTGTATCTCTATACGTATATGCTTCTAAACTGTTATATTCTGAGCACCTCTGCAAAAAGCAGTGATAATGTGTGAGTGTGGTGAAAGTGTTGAATGATGATGAAAGTATTTTCTTTTTGGGGATTTCCCCCCCTTTTTTTTTTGGAGTCACTGCCTCGGTGGGAGACGACCGACTTGTTAAGAAAAAAAAAAAAAAAATGTATGAAAGAGGGAAGGTACCTAAGGCGATTGGCAGAGAGATGTATAGTCCCTTTATTGAAAGGGAAGGGGGACAAAGAGATTGTAAATATTATAGGGGAATAAGTTATAGTGTTACAAGGAAAAGTGTATGGTGGTTATTATTGACAAAAATTAGAGAGATAAGACAAGAAGGGCAGGATGCGGAGAGCAAGGAGGTTTTAGTGTGGGTAGGGGATGTGTAGATCAAGTGTTTACATTGAAGCATATATGTGAACAGTATTTAAATAAAAGTAGGGAAGTTTTCATTGCATTTATGGATTTAGAAAAGGCATATGACAGAGTGGACAGGGAAGCAATGTGGCAGATGTTGCAAGTATATGGAATAGGTAGTAAGTTAATATATGCTGTAAAGAGTTTTTATGAGGATAGTGAGGCTCAGGTTAGGGTGTGTAGAAGAGAGGGAGAATACTTCCCGGTAAAAGTAGGTCTTAGACAGGGATGTGTAATGTCACCATGGTTGTTTAATATACGTATTTATAGATGGGGTTGTAAAAGAGGTAAATGCTAGGGTGGTCGGGAGAGGGGTGGAATTAAATTATGGGGAATCAATACAACATGGGAATTGACACAGTTACTTTTTGCTGAGGATGATGATACTGGCTTTATGGGAGATTCTAAAGAAAAATTGCCAAGGTTAGTAGACGAGTTGGTAGTGTGGGGTAAAGGTAGAAAGTGAAAGTGAACATAGAAAAGAGTAAGGTGAGGAGGGTATCAATTGTTTTAATAAAGAAAAAACTGGGATATCAAATTGGGGAGGAGGAGTATGAAAGAAGTTGAATGTTTTAGATACTTTGGGAGCGGACGTGTCGGTCGGATGGATTTATGAGGATGAGGTTAATCATAGAATGATGAGGGGAATAAAAGGTGAGTGGTGCATTGAGGTATATGTGGAGTTCAAAAAAAACGTTATCGATGGGGCAAAGAAGGTAATGTATTGATAGTATAGTAGTACCATCTTATATGGTGTGAAGCTGGGTGGGGTTGTGAATGCTGCAGCAAGAAGGCAATGAGGCAGTTGAATGTCCTGTCTAAGTGCAATGGTGTGGTGTAAATATTTTGCAGAAATTCGAAGTGTGGAAATTTAGGAGGTGTGGAGTTCAATAAAGTATTAGTCAGAGGGGCTGAGAGGGGTTGTTGAGGTGGTTTGGTCATTTAGAGAGGAATGGATCAAGTAGAATGGACATGGAGAGCATTTAATCTGTGGAGAAGGAAGGCAGGGTAGGGGTCGTCCTCGAAAAGGTTGGAAGGAAGGGGTACGAGAGGTTTGTGGGCCGAGGGGCTTGGATTCTGCAGATGTGCTTGAGCGTGTTCGATAGGAGGTGAATGGGGGGGGGATGACAAAATGGAAATTTTGGACCTGATGATCTGTTGGAGTGTAAGCAGGGTATATAGTGAAGGGATTCAGGAAACGGTTATTTTTATATAGCCGGACTTGAGTCCTGGAAATAGGAAGTTCAATTCTGCACTCTAAAGGAGGGGGTTCAGGATATTAGCCGTTTGGAGGGATATGATGAAGTATCTTTATACGGTACAGTATATGTTCTAAACTGTTGTGTTCTGAGCACCTCTGCAAAAACAGTGATTTATGTGTGAGTGAGGTGTGAAAGTGTTGAATGATGATGAAAGTATTTTCTTTATGGGGATTTTCTTTCTTTTGCGGTCGATCTAGCTGCCTTGGTGGAGACGGACTCGTTTAAAAAAAAAAAAAAAAAAAAAAAGCAGGTCTTAGACAGTTATGTGTAATGTCACCATGGTTGTTTAATATACATATTTATAGATGGGGTTGTAAAAGAGGTAAATGTAGGGGTGTTGAGGGAGAGGTGGTGGGATTTAAAGTATGGGGAATCAAATGAAAAATGGAGGTGACACAGTTATTTCTGCTGATGAATTACTGTGCTATGGGAGCTTCTAAAGAAAAATTGCAAAGGTTAGTGAGACGAGTTTGGGAGGGTGGTAAGGTAGAGAAAGTTTGAAAAGTGAACATGGAAAAGGTTAAGGTGATGTGGTATCAAACGTTTTAGACAAAGAAAAATTGGATATCAATTTGGTGTGTTGGAGAAGAAAAGTTTGAAGAAGTGAATGTTTCATATAGTTGGGGTTGACGTGTCACTGGATGGATTTATGAAGGATGAGGTTTAACATAGAATTGATGAAGGTAAAAAAAGGTGAGGGTTGCGTTTGAGGATATGTGGAGACAAATAAAAAACGTTATCTATGAGGCAATGAAGGTATGGAAAGTATAGTGGTACCAACTCTCTAAAATGGGTGTGAAGCTGGGTTTGTATGCTGCAGCATGGGGCCGTTACGAGGCAGTGGAGATGTCTAAGGGTAATGTGTGGTGGAAATAATCGGAGTGCAGGAGTAATTCGGAAGTGTTTGGAAATTAGGAAGAAGGTGTGAGTTTAATAAAAGTATTAGTCAGAAAAAGGCTGAAGAGGGGGGGTGTTGAGGTGGTTTGGTCATATTAGAGAATGGATCAAAGTAGAATGACATGGAGAGCATATAAATCTGTAGGGAAAGGAAGGCGGGGCAGGGGGTCATCCTCAAAAAGGTTGGAGGGAAGGGTATAGGAGGTTTTGTGGGCAAGGGGCTTGAACTTCCAACAAGCATACATGAGCATGTTAGATAGGAGTGAATGGAGCCGAATGGTATTTGGGACCAGACGAGCTGTTGGAGTGTGGGCAGGGTAATATTTAGTGAAGGGATTCAGGGAAACCAGTTATTTTTATATAGCCAGACTTGAGTCCTGGAAATGGGAAGTACAATGCCTGTACTCTAAAGGAGAGGTTTGGGATATTAGCAGTTTGG